TCCTTGATGAATAATGCTCTACACATGAGAACGTGTTGTTATATGAAACGTATCATCCGCGACATGTATGTCGGTCTACAAAATCTAATAGTAAATACAGGATAAAAAGAAGATTAGACTCATCATCAAAAGCACCTAAAATCAATTATTGCGTTTTTGTTTCCATTGAGCGTAAATTATCATGTAAGTGGGGAAAAAGATTCATTCGGAAATTATATATAGATACAGATAAATAAAATTGAAGTGTCTGTAATCTCAAAATAACAGCTTTTTACTAAATGCATATGAAATAATATAGGTAGTAGTAGGTAGTTTAAGAAAAACACAATTTTTTATTTTTTTGTTTATTTGCCTGTCTTTTTGTTCCGGCTAATCCCCGAAACGGCTTTACTGATTTTGAAGGGAGTTTCACTGGCAGATAGATGATGTTATACAAAGCAACTATTTTTATTAGGCTATTTTTGTTTTAGAAAAATATAGGGTTCCGCTCAAAAAATTAAAACGTACCTAGGACGCACCCGAGCGAAGCAAGGGTAAGTCGCTAGTAGAGAAATATAAAAACGTTACTATATGTATATGTGCCTCTTAAAGATTTTACTTTAAATTATTTTTATGTTGTTCAGCAATAAGAAGGAAAGGTAATAGGATAAACAAGGCAATCCTCTTATTCAAAATGTCGCATTAATTTACATTTCAATACTTGTATCCCGTCCTAATGACTAGGATTAGCCTCGTGGGTGTTTGTAATGAGCTAGTTGAGAATTTCAAAATAGAAGTATTCGTTTAAAACGATTTCTTGTTAAGTAAACATGTAGCGAGGGTATCAATACGGGAACTAGTATCTACTGTGCCTGTATTGATAAATAATGATAGAGCTTCAAATAGTTTATAGTGCTAAATAATTGATAGGTATCTGTTAAAGTTTGCAATTCACGTTTTACTCAAGCGATCCAGTCCAACTCTACTATAATTTAAAAAAATGTTTATATTGCTGTTGTACTCGTATATACATAAAAGTTGTAGCAAATAATCGTTTAATAACGTTATAAAGTTTTATAAATAAACGGTTATAAAATGTATTTCCGAAATTATTATTGGGCGATAATAATAGTTAATACTTATAGTAAGCGATATAAGCTCTATCAATAAATGTACGGGCGACGGATCGCATTTGTCATCTGGATTATAAACAGTTATTGGACTTAACGCCGTAAGTCGGGATTAAATCTATGTCAATTTGCATTTTATTATAACGACACAGCCCTTAAGCTTCAACTACTAACACGGCTTTGTAAAAGATTAATTCAAATTTGCGATCGTGACGATCCTACGCTGTTTTGACTCCGGAGTAACGTAAATTGAATATACATAGCTTATATTCTATTAGATTATTACGTATTACGAACGGATAATTTTTTTACTAAAAATCAAAACACAAACGCCAATTACTTTAACCATATATAATATTATACAAACAAAAAATGTTCCTCATCCCACGTAAAGAAACTGGACCCCCATAACTTGAGCTAATCTGTGAACAACTTCTTATAGCCTCAGTAAGCGGTAAATGATGCTGAAAGTGGTCTGGACATGCTTAGATTTTTTTTAATTTATAAAAACATTTTTGAAAATCTATTTATACTATTATATATATAATTATAATATTATACTTTGGAAAAGTTATTCTTCATTGAAATTACCTCATGTTTATTTCACAAAACATATACCTTGAGAGAAGAAAACTTAAAAACTATGAAACGGGAGAAGACAATGGCGTCTGAAAATTCCGCCGAGGGTGAGCTGTAAGAGATACTTAGGCGTCTAATTTCCTTTATGAGGAAGAGGATCATTTGGGTAAAAAATGACTAGACAGAAGACAGTAGACGTGTTGGGAGGTATGCGATGCACGTAAGGTACTTCTGGTACTTCTCCAAACTTTACAGAGCGGACTGTAAGAACAACCCCTCAGTGGTCGTGGACGGAGGGAAAGATAACTACTTAAAAAAACATACGTAATTCAAGCTGTATACATGCAAGCGTGGTTGGAGGGCAACCGGATCTATCACTCAGAAGTAGATCTGCCTCGGTAAGCGGCGAGCGATGTAGTTGAAACAATAAGACGGAGAATATTTCGTATGGTTGTACTGGCTCTTCTAGCCTGATGATGCTTGTAACTGCATTTTTAATGTTAAAAAATGTGTGGCGATGGAAAATCGAATGACAAAACTATTTCAATTGTAACGGAAATAATTTGCTTAGTAAATTTATTTCATTTGATATTTCCATTGACGGGTCAGCCTCAGCCCAGACCTAGCAGTGTAGAAAGGTTGTTTATAGGCGTGGAATAAAAAGTACTTTGTAAAAACATAGACATTGCTATTTTAGATATTAAATTCTTTATGGTGACTGAGGAGAAGGAATATTGTATTGAGTCATACCGTGAAGGATTTATTACTTCTCAGTAATTGTTATTAGTCTATATATTTGAATACCTTTCTTTTAGAAGAGTCCTAGGTTCAGTGTAAAAGTGTTGAAATACACACATTTTGAAATAGGTGAGTGATGATGTAAATCACAAACTTTCTTTCTTTATGTGGGGCACTTTTCTAACATTATACGAGTAGGTGCAGACAATTCGTCTCTGAAGGAATGTAAACTTGCATTTGTGCAAAATAACTTCATATTGACTACAAAAACAGAAAACAAAGTTCCTGAATATTAAAAAATTCCCCTTATTGCATTGCGTATGCTCGGAACTAATATGGTATTATAAAGCACGCATGACATGTTGCAAAGAAGTTATACTTGTCATCATAACTTCCTTATAAAACCACTACAAACTAAAGTTTGACGTAACAAACGTCATACTACTAGCGTAATTGAGTATCTGGGATATAACCTTTTGAAATACATACTATAAAGTTTATATAAGACTTGCATTTCAGAAACAAGCGCTTTAACTTTATGAATTAATTACAATACATTAAAATGAAAAGTTTGAAATTAGTTCACATACACGTCATATTGCCTTTACATAGTTTCTTATAGCTGATATGTATGATTAATTCCATAATTGATGGTTTATATTCTAGCTAACCGACTTCAAAAAAGGAGGATATGTTATGTAAATAAGTTTGTAAATAATATGTAAATTTATAATATGATAATGTATTAGGGTTTCCAAACAAATATACAAAATTTTAAAGGTGAACGTATGTTTGTCCACGCATTTTTCCGCAACTAGTAGTCGGATCATGATCATTCTTTACATTTATTTCAAGTTAGGAAATATGTAGTAGATTTTATGAAAATCGGTTCCGTAGTTTTTATGATATGGATTATAATGTGTAACGGCCTGACATATTGATAGAGAGGGTATGGTGTCAAAGGGAAAACTTCTCAAAACCTTGATCAAATTAAAAGAAAAATATTAAAATTGCCGAAACCAAATAAATGGTCCTCACGAATCACGATACAAATTCGCGGTGAAAACTAAAAATAAAAAATCTCTACATTTTTATTAAAAAAATAATTATTAGTTATTACTTATATTACAAAAACTACTCGTATATCACTTTTACTTAAAACTAAAAAGTAAGAAATAAAAAAGAAATTACAAAAAAAAATTAAACCTACTTCACTAAAAAATAAAAAAATACTGAACGGGGGTTTGCATTTACTATAAATAACTAATCAGATGTTTTCGAAGCCGGTGCCAGCTGCCAATGCTTCAAGATATCAATATCTAATAGGTGAGTAAATATGACAAGGTATGAATTACCTTGTCATATTTCCTTAATAGCCCGAGAGCTGGTGACCAATTTTGGGAAGGTCCATTTGGCAAGTCGAAATTGTGAAAAATATAATTTCGTCAATTGGCGAGTCCAGTCAGTTACTGCGCAGAATTAATATTTGCAAAAAAAAATATCTAAAAAAATACATATTTTTGGCAACTTGATTTTTGTTTAATCTTTTAATTTAGTTTTTATATAATTCAAGAAAAAGAACCCCAGACGTTTTTGTCGGTTATTAAGTATTACCAGACCTCTCCATAGATATTTTATAAAAATTACCAAAAATATAGGTACTTTTGGCAATCTGAAATTTTAATCACGTATTTATTGAGTAATTTTCAATAATACTTGCAAATCGCCAGACAAATTTACCGGTTTTAAACAATTATAAATTATAAAATATTTTAGTTTTTAAACCTATCAGGGTTAATTAAATACGTTTTTAAAAATATAAATATACATATAATAAAGAACAATAATATACAAAAATATTTCACCTTTCATTTGGGAATATCAGTGATATTTTTCGAGAACGCTAAACATCTAAAGTATTCATGTCCAATTGTGCCTACAACATGTTCAACTGTATTGCAGTGGGCAAAATCAATTAGTAAAGCTTTGCACTTGGCAAATTGAATGTTCATACATTTTTAAGGTAGTACCTAACTGCCTTGTTGGTTAGTGGGTTGGAACTTGGATCATGATCATATTGGGCAGATCAAGTCAAAAGAGTTATTAGGTTTTTGTGTCAAGGATTTGTTTGTCAATAAAAAATTCTGTCAGAACTGTCATTCGTAGCAGTCGTGTTTAGCTTATTAATAAAATATAATCATGTTTTTTGCTTATAATGCTAATAGTAAAACTGTATAACCGTTTTGATGGCAAAACGTAGCTATCTGTTATAATAACTGTAAAGTGTAGTGCTATTTAATATCAAAAAAGTGTGAAAATCTTAATTTAGTATCAAACTTATAAACCTCTCGGTTTTTGCTATTTTCAAATACCCACTTGTTACCATAAATGTGATCATAACAAATAACTTGAATGTAATATTATGAATTTTCACTATAGTCATTAAAGCTGCAATGGTATAGTGGTGACAGCAAAAGATTCCTGCGTATCGTCGATCCGATAAACCCGAGTTCAAATCTCACTTAAAATATACTTGTTTAAAATTTTTATTCGTTTCTTTCTAAAATATAAAATATGAAATATAGTTGTTGTAAGTCGACAAGTGGGGGAGCCACTGATCGTATCACATGTATACAATGCAAATGTCACTATCATATACAATGTTTGTTTCCTTCCAATGAAGATAACGAAATATCCAATGAATTAAAAAAAAAATGGACTTGTCCAACATGCTCTTGCACCCGGCGTGGTCTTAATACAGACAATACACCAGTTCGGTCCTCTCCCTTGGGTTCAAGATCTGTTAAAAATACAAATATTAACATGCAAAGAGGAGGGTCTGCAATTAATCAATCTCCAGAAACGATGGATATTGGAAGGGAATTTAATTTTACTATAGATGATATCAAACATATTATTTCCTCAGAAATAGCGAAATGGAAATCAGACTTGGAGTTAACCATTAATAACCTTGTATCTTCCTTTCTGCAGCCTATTAAGGAAGATATAGTTAACCTAAAGGATAGTATATCTTTTATCAACACTAAGTACGAAGAAATAAATCAGAAAATTGCTCACTTTGAAAATGAGATAAAAGTATTGTCTGCTCAATCAAGTAGTTTAAACGATTTGAGAATTAATTTAGATAGTATGGAAGCGGAGAATAACAAACGAGAACAATGGGTACGTAGATCTAACGTAGAGATTTATGGAATACCTGAAAAGAAAAACGAAAATCTAATGGAGCTCCTACAATCAATATCTAGTCATATAGGTTATCAGGTGAATCCTGCAACGGATATTGACTTTATCACAAGAGTAGCGCCAACTTCTAGAGAAAATCGTCGGTCAAAACCTATCATAATAAGATTTTTATCCCGCTGGAAAAAGGATGACTTTTTGTCTATAGCTCGAAAAAATAAGTTGAAATGTAGCGATCTTGGCTTTTCTGGAAATAATTCAAATATATATTTTAACGATCATCTGACTAAGAGTAATAAAAACTTATTACAAGAAGCCAAAAAGTTAGCCAAAGAAAAGAGTTTTCTGTATGTTTGGGTTAAGAATTGTACAATCATGGTCCGACGTTCTGACACTAGCCCCGTATTGCATATTATAAATCAAAGTGATTTAAAAAAAATAGCTTAAGTGTTGTTTTCCCTTTGAAAAATTCTATTATACTGCATGTCATATTTTTATTCGATTTATTTATTACTAATGGTCTATTTTATATTATTAAAATGTATAATTTAACGTATTGCGAGGATATCTTAAAGTTTAAACTTATTTTTAATTTAACGCGAAGTTATTCAACAACAATAATTCGATTTTATTTTAACTATGGGATTTTTTTGTTAATTTATTATAAATATCAACTAAGAGAAATTAATATTTATTTTAGCAATGGATAACAGTCTCTCAATCTACTATCAGAATGTACGTGGTCTTCGTTCTAAAACCAATATTTTCTTTCGAAATCTTCTCAAAACGGATTATCATATAATATGCTTAGCGGAGACCTGGTTATTGGATGGGATTTTCAGCGAGGAGTTATTTGACTGTCGATACTCCGTATATAGGTGTGACAGAAACTATGAATTACGTGGAGACTCTATGGGTGGTGGAGTATTAATCGCCGTTAGACGTGATATCTCCGTACGTTCTGTGAATACTGTTTTAATAAACGATGCAGTTGCTGATGTTGTAAAAGTTAAAATAAGTCTCAACATTGAGGGCAAAACGTCTTTTCTTAATGTTTTTTCATGCTATTTCCCCCAATGCAGACTTCATTACGAAGCTCTATGTAACTTTTTTGAGTATGTTTCAAATGATATCGTTAAAGAGCCGGATGATTATTATTTTATTGCAGGTGACTTCAACATCCCAGATGCTACGTGGGATTACAATAATTCGATGATGAATATAATCGAAACGAATCTTAACAATCATTTAGTGTATGCGCTTTCAATGTTTTTAAATTTTACCAACTTAAAACAGTACAACTGTATTCCCAATGTTAATGATAGATACCTAGATCTAATTATAAGTAGCTGTACTTGTATGGTTATTCAATGTCTGGAACCCTTAGTTCAAGAAGATTGCCATCATCCAGCTATTGTAATAGATTGTCAAATATTTACTACTCCTATACTTAATCCACTCGCTAAAACTTTACGTCAATTTCGAAAAGCTGATTACAATATAATTAACACCAAAATCGAAGAAGTGGACTGGAATAGATTACTTTTTGATCTTGATGTCAATTCAGCGGTGGCTAAGTTTTATCATGTTCTTGAAGAGATTATATCGGAGTTTGTTCCTTGTAGGGTAAATACAGGCAACAAGCAATTCCCTTCTTGGTATTCTAGAGCGCTTATTAAAATAATTTCTGAAAAACTCAAATATCACAGAAGATGGAAAGTGTATGGTAGGATTGGTGATTATCACACTTTTAGCATGCTACGGGAAAGACAAAAAAGAGAACAGGTTGCTTGTTATAATATGCATATTTATAGAAGTGAAGAAATGATATTACAGCAAAGTAAATCTTTTTGGTCTTTCGTTAAATCGAAAAAGTCTTGTAACGAGTTGCCGGCAACAATGTTCCTGGGCGATGTCTCGGCATCAGATGGTGAGAGTATTTGTGCTTTGTTCAGTAATCACTTTCAGTCAGTATACCAGCCTAACGCTTTTGACAGTGATATTAAATTTAACAATAACATTGATCCAACTATGCATGATGACTTGTCTATCGGTTCTGTTGAGTTATCCCCCAGCATTGTACATAAATATTTGAAACAGTTGGATCCTAGTAAGGGTATTGGCCCTGATCTCATCCCTCCTTTCTTTTTGAGAATGTGTAGTGTGAGTCTGTCCCATCCTCTCTTTTTACTATTTAATAAGTCTCTTAAATCTGGAATTATGCCCACCACATGGAAGCGTTCTTTTGTAGTGCCAATTTATAAATGTGGAAGTAAACACGATGTCTCTAACTACAGGCCTATATGTAAATTGAGTGTGATAGCTAAACTATTTGAAAAAATTATATTTGATTATATTTACCCTTTTTTAAGTTCACGTCTTATTGAACAACAGCATGGGTTCATTAAAAACAAATCTACTGAAACAAATTTGAACGAATTTATTCATCGTGTAACATCTGACATGGACTGTGGTGGCCAGGTAGATGTCGTGTATACGGACTACTCCAAAGCTTTTGACAAAATTCCTCACTCTTTGCTTATCCGTCGACTCACGGAGGTCGGTATACACGGCGATCTCCTGCGTTGGTTTGCCTCTTATTTACGAGAGCGAAGTCAAGCTGTAACTATAAAAGGATTTTGCTCCTCATTTGTGCCAGTCGCATCAGGCGTTCCTCAAGGCTCGCATCTCGGGCCTCTGCTTTTTAATATCTTCATTAATAAAATTCATTTAATATTTAAACATTCTGAAATTTTGTTATACGCTGACGACATGAAGATCTTAAGGACTGTCAATAAAAATGACGATTGTCAATTATTACAAAGTGATCTTGATAGGTTGTGCCAATTTTGTAATAGTAATGGTCTTATTCTTAATATTAAAAAATGTAATGTCATAAGTTTTTCACGTAAGACCAATATTGTCAAATACGATTACACCTTGAATAATAATTCAATTAAACGTGTTACTGAGGTGAGAGATTTGGGTGTATATCTTGATCATAAACTTACTTTTTCTAGCCATATAGACCACATTGTTGGTAAGGCACATCGCATGCTAGGCTTTATACTCAGAATAGGAAAAGATTTTCGTAATAATTCTACTTTAATTGTTCTATATAATGCTTATGTCCGTTCTATACTTGAATATGCTTCTTCCGTTTGGAATCCACAGTACAGTAAATATATAAATAGAATTGAAAACATCCAGATTAAATTTAATAAGCATTTATTATATAGATCAAAAAACAATAATCAGGAATTTCCTAATTTAGTCTCCCTATTGGATCGCCGACGCCTAAAGGATGAACTTCTTCTATTTAAAATTATCAGAAATCATGTGCATTCACCATTTCTTTTAAGTAATATTTGTTTAAGATGTCCTCGACCGCAATCACGTAGTTTGTCATTATTTTATCTACCTAGAATAACAACTAATTATGCACGTAATAGCTTTATATACCGTTCTTGCAGATTGCATAATGAAATATTTAATGACATAGATTTATTTTCCCTTTCTTTAAATAAGTTCAAAATTTTAACCAGAAGTGTCTGTTCGTGATTTCCCCGTTTTTTTTTTTTTTTTTTGTTATATACTTTAATTTTTAATTTTAATAAGCTAACATATACCTACCTTAAGAATGTGTAAACGGTGAAGACTTAATTGGTGTATGTATTTTTTTTTATTTCTTTTGTTTATAATATGTAACATAATACTGTTTGTCTTCCAAATAAATAAATAAATAAATAAATAAATAAATAAATAAATAACATCCACCAAATAAAAATATTGAGGGAATAGGGAGCACCACCGTTTACGAGAACGCATCTTGCCTACAAATAAAACGGCCAGGAGACAAACCTAAAATTCAAAAAAATAGTTCTTCTTTTCTTTTACTCAATTTAATAAAATATAGTAATAATAAAATTATAAATATTCTGACAATAAATTATTTAGGTATTCTATATAAATATATATATATATATATATATATATATATATATATATAAATATATATATATATATATATATGTATTATAAATTGAGGTTTAGTAGGGCTGCATGCAGTGAGAATCTATTAATTTGGCCGTAAAACGTGGCCGTTAGAGGCGAGTCGCCAATTATTCAGTCCCCTCGGTAATTAAATGCTATGATGTTCGCCAATCTAAGACAGACGCCGTTTACGATACTCAAATTACGATTTCATTGCCCGTAAAAAGATTGAAATACTCAGTTACGACTTTTGAAACTGAGAAAATTTTAATTATTATTAAAGAAAGTTACTAACACTTTTGGCCCTTTATTTTTCTTTTCTAATTTTTATAGAGTGCGTGCAATCAAAGACAGACAATATAGATCTAAAATAATTTATTTTGTGTTCCTTTTTATAAAACAATAGCTTATAATCTAACTTAGTAATATATTATACAATAAACATACTCAGGATTTGCCTACCAGAACAAATTTTATTTACAATAATCATCCATAATTTTTACAGAATATTTTTACATTATAACTCTTTTCATAACAAGCTGCATTTACGTAGAAAATACATTGCTTAATAAATAGTTAATCAGAGTCTTGCGGTAAGATACATTTTATCCTTAGCAGATTCATCATAATTTTTTAACATTTGAAAAAAAATATACTTTATTATGAATGAAATAAGAGTAAAAATCTATCTTGGGTAAATAAAACTAATAAGTAAAATAAGTTTAACATTTATAGACAAAAAAAAACTGATAAAAAAGATTTTTTTTAATAAAATACACAATTTTTTTACTATAAAAGTAAAAAAAATCTATTCAATCATCAATTACAAATCATTTCATCTGATTTGACACACCATTACTAGCACATCATCAACAATAATACAATTTAAGCGATTTCTTCAATTTAACAATATTCTTAATTACAATAAACATTAATAGTTATATAGCAAATCATTTAATACTGGCGATTCTATCAGTGGAAGGTTATTGCTTTATTTTCATCTTACTGAGTGAAATCTTACAAACTACGCTACTTTACATAATGACAAAAATATTAGTCAATATCTTAAGGTTTTAACTATTCTATAAGCATGCTTCACAAGGCACTATACTAGCGAGATTATCTATCAATAAATCAACAAAACAATTTGAACAATTTCTATTAAATTCGGTTTTTAAAAGTCCGAAATGGGCCTAAAATTACATTTTATGGCGATAAATAAATGCTGAATTCTCGTATAGAATAAATAAATCAAAGAGGTACAAATTTGGAACAATCTCTAACACGCAACTTCGACTTGTAAACTTCGCTTAACATAACTATTACTACCAAAATGTTGCGGCAATTCAAAGCGTCACTGGATTTCATATAAATAAGCTTTTTGATAAATATATTATCCTATAACCTAAATTGGCGTTTGTATTGCTCTTTGCTATAGAGAAACTCTGAATGGACGTGAGTGAAAAGTGAACTCATATACTTTTAATTAATTCATTTAACTATTTGTCTATAATAACTATTTGAAATAAGCAGGGTTTGGTCTTCAGTACACCAGATCAATAAAATTAAGTTATCAACGAATACATATATCACATTTTACACAACATTTTTAATTAATAATAGCTGATGAAAATAATATACTAATTATATTAACAATTATTCCTTACTCATTCATTTACGGAGAGACGTAAACGCAAACTGATATCACAGCATTTTGTATTTTATGAATTACCTCCACTCCCGACTTCAAGAATTATTTACATAAAAATTCCAATATGGAGTCGAATTGTCTGGTAATATTTGATCATGAATTCATTACAAAAGAAAGCTTATGCCACTATATGTGTTACTCAGTCACTTCCAACAATAATATATTTTGATTGCTGTTTACCCATACTTTGAATACGATCTATCCGATATTAGGTCGACTGTTTAATAAATAATTACTGCTTAAAGTTTTAAAATAATATGAATGTATATAAAATATTAAAAACGAAAATTACATTCTTTTATCGTACAGTCCTATCTACTTGTCTTATTTGATTATTTGTGAAAGATAACTTCGTCTCAAGAGAGTAAGACATACATAGTTGCAATTCAAGTCAAACAAATGTTGGCCATCCATCAAGGCACGCAGTCTGCGTAGCGGCCGACATGTCTATTTTTGCAGATCATTCCTTCACCAAATTATATTCCCCTGCTCGCCTATCAGCTTACAAACATTCGACTCATTGTAGCTTCATCATTTATACTTCTGTCAATCAGAACACGAACAGTATTGTGATAATCATTTAGGTACCGTATTCATGACGAAAGTTTCGAATATGTGAACTTATTTTGCTTCTTGTTGTGTCATATTTCTATATGAACTACTTTAATAAGTAGAAATAATTGAATACGAAACTAGATTTCAATGAATATGAAATATAGGATTTTTATATTGTTAGGAATTTTTCAGATGCGATAAATATATAGGTACAATACACATACTGCATATGTTTTATAAAATGAAGTCGACAGCTGGCACTATCAGTGAAAAGTAAATAAGTATGCAAATTAGCGACATCAATGAAAGTTCGCGCTTATTTGAATACGCTTAAATTAGGTCATGTCATGACTGTTCACGTTCCAAGTACCTACATACGAAACATTTGCAACTATTGAAAACCATACATGAGAATGCGCGGCCGAATGCTGCGATAGCATAACGCTATCACAATATTCGAGCGTGCATTCTCAATGTTGTTGTGTTAAATATGATTTCTTATAACAAAAAATGGCAGAAAAAGTTACTTCAAAGCTTATTGAAGTAGTAAATTTTTGATGTTTTTTTTTGAAATGCAATCTAGGCATTTTGCAAAATATAAAAAAAAAGGTGATCGACATAATATCGGATAGTTCGGTTTAAATAACTGATATATAATCTAGCGGTGCCTTATCACCGCAGCGATGCTATGATTTCATTGCTCATGCTGTTTTGCTGACTCGACGCATTCATGTTTTTGGAGCATTGCTGAAATATCACACAATAATATTGAAATAAGAATTCAATCAAATTTCAGAACACGTCTCATCTTATCAATAAAGGTTGGGAAATGTGTCGCTTTTTCATTACTATGACCTTCTCTTAATTAGTTAGTCAAATCCTTTCTATTCCGTCTGCGCATTTATGAGTCAAACATAGTATTTCGTTAATTTGTAAATCGAAATCACTCAAGTTAAAAAATTTCGTGGTAATAAATAAATAGATCTGTAGAGAAATTTTAGGTTTCTGATAATCAATAATGCTGTTTACATACATACGAACTATAATTAAACTGCAAAAAACTGGCCATGTATTGATTGTTATTTGATAAAGATTAATAATAGTAATAGAATTAAATACTTTTTAAAATTCAAATATTTAAATTAATACATGTGTTTGTTTATTTATTATTAAATATATAAAGAAAGTATAATAATATTTCCTTAAAAAGGTTTCAGTGACTCGTACAGTATAATTGTCTATTATATTAAATTTAATATCATACAATATTTTTAATACCCCAAAAAGATGCAAATGTGCTAAAAAATAAATGCGAAAATATTATTTCTTACCATTTGCCGAGACTCCCACGCCTTCATAGCACTTTTGTACTTTTCAAACTCATGACACCAATCTGAGTAAACTTGTCTGTATTCTTGCGATTTGTTAGGTTGCGTACATCTAAGAAGTATTGATTAGTTAAGAAATATTTCTGAGACAGAGTAAATTTTCATTTGATATCATTATTAAGAAATAAATACTTTATTCAGAAAGTGTAGTATTGTTCACGTACTTATAATTTTATTCTTATTTCTTAATTTACTCGACCATTTCAAATCTATCTTTAGAGAAAACAATTTAAAAAAGCTTAAATGGTCAAGTCGTCTTCGACAAATCGGTCTAAATTCATAAAAAAATATACGAGTCGAGATTCTAGGTACCTCTATCTCTGAAGTTGATCAGAAACAATGTACATTTTTTACAAGACTGAACGGACTCTAGATTTTTCTGAACAAATGGTTATTATTTTATTGTAAACAATTAACGCATCTAACTTACCTTTGAATATCAATATCTAAATTATAAGAAGCTACAAGTGTAGGTCCGAAGTAGCACTCATACCGGCCGCGGTCGGACTCAGTCACCGACAACAGTACTAAACCTCTCTCTGAAGTCTGTAGAACTCGCTCCCAACTACAACAACAATTTAGATTTAATTAAAAGTTACACGCACACACACAACTCGTATTTGCTTATTATTACTTTATTGAATAGGAAACTAACAGTATACATATGCAACATTTATATAAATACTATATTACAAAGTAGCAGACTTATCATGTACACCTATTTCAGATATACATAACACTTACTTTAACTTATTTGTGGATATTCCATTTAAAATATAATTTATACACAGAAGTGATTTAAATATTTTATAAGAAAACGAGGTTAAAATTAGGCAAAATAGTTTTATTAAATATCCGACAAGAACTTTTAAAGTATTAAAGCTCTATTAAATTATCCACTAGTGACCCGTAATCCTCGACTTTATTCTCATTATAAAGACGACACAAGGCTCGCTCGCTGCCCGCTGTTTCCGATCCGCCCATTTAAATAGGCTAATTTGGTTATAAAATACAAAAAATTTATTTCTATGATCTCTTATTTCAATCTTATTCTTATTTAATCGTTCCGGGGATGGCACAATTTAAAAGAAACATTAATCAAACTTACTTATAGTTGATTTTGTAACGACCTCTTTCCCTGGAATGGTGATACCAAGCGACATTCTGATCTTTTAGTGCTTCTGGCGTCTTTCCAAACGCCGACAGATGCACGCTCTGGCCGAAGCCCGCCCGGACCGTGTGTAGCGGCGCGCCGGCCTCGCAGATTGACGGCGTCGAGTTGGTGGCGTCGTGCAGGAGGCCCGGCGCGTACGGCCGGCACGCGCCGCCCTCCTTGTCCCAGCCACAGTACGGGTCGAGGACACAGCGTACGCAACTGTCGTAGCTGGTTACAATGAAAATATTTCTAAGTAGGTACTAAGATTTTCTTAGTACATATATATTATATATGTATGTTTTGTTGAAAAAGTAATAGCACTTTATCTACAATTTACAATGGTCTTTCGTATTTATTTTAAAGCTCATAACATACTGAATATTATTCTTTAAGAATGGAATGTTCTGAATTTAATGATATTAATATGAAATATTCCTTGTAACACTATATGGATGCTGTAAAGCATTCGAAACGTCGGGAACCAAAAATCAAAATAAATCCGCGAAATAATCCGAAAAGATAGTTTTACTTTAACGTGTGCTATTTTTTTATTCAATTTTCTTCTGCATGTTGTGAGAGCACAAATTACAGTGATGTCTTTAAAGATCATTTCCAAAATGAGCACGTTTATCGCTCGGCGACAGTCGCAATAGCGCATTCAAGACAAGAAGTAGAGACAGAAGTAGCCGTTACGCAAAATGACAAGTTTTCCAGTATTTGCAAAATAAAAGTTTACAGATAATGTTGTAAAAAAGTTAGGTAAATTCGTAAAAGTGTACCGTGATACTATGGCAATATTGCTATTGATATATAATTTAGAATTAGTATTTAAATGAAATTATTATTATTAAGTACTTTTGAGTACTCGTATCTCGCTCTCTCGTGTATTAAAATATAAACCGACTCACCGATGTGTGCATGCGTGCAAGGGCAGCTGTCGCAGACGGTTGTCCGTGGCAAGATAGAGGGCGTGCGTCTGCTTGGACAGCGCGAGCGCGCGCACCGCCTCGCCGCCCGCCGCGCGCCACACGTCGGCCACGCGAGACCCGCCGCCGGTCCATTGCACTATTTTGTATACTTCACCTTGACCTTAATAGGAAGAAATTCATTTTAAATTAAATAATTAAAGCTATTAATCCTATCACATCAGATAAAATATTTTTTGTACAATCATCTTTCAACTGTGATTAGAATCTGATCGACTAGTTTATATAGTCGTTAACGCTTCTGATATAAAATGTTTCATATTATATTTTTCAATTTATATCTACCGCATGTCTGAAATAATAATTTATAGCAAAAGTAATTAATTATAACTCATTCGTTAATTACTCGAATTAGCGCGTGGTGCTTTAAAATTTAACAGAAACTTGCATTAATGTTTTGACCACACTGGTAAAATCTTATAATAATGTATGTATGTATGCATTCAACCCTTTCTAACGTCCCACTGCAGGGCACGGGCCTCCCCTCAATACGAGGGGGATCAAGCCGTAGCCCACCACGCTGGCCAAGTGCGGGTCGGCCTTATAATAATAATGACACAAAAAGAAAATACATAATAAATACTAATACGCATTTATTTTAGAAGAAAAGATATTATTATGATCTGAAAACTTATTGAAATGGACTTACTAGTGCCAGCGTAAAATATCGTATAAGTGGTATCATCGCCCAACATGTCGACAAACTGCCTATCTACCACCAGAGTTGTAAGTACTAGGTCCCGTTTGTAAAAGGCCGGCGCATCGCCTTCGTGTCGTACAGCTGCATCCATTAGCGGATGCGACCTAGAAAAAAATACATACCACATAATCTCTTACAATTTACAAAATGTATTTTTCTTTTTTTTTTGTCTGATTGTATTGTTAAAGTAACGTGCAATGCTTATAATGATAATATTGTGAGCTTATAAAATAATGTATGTTTTTTATATTAAATCTTTTATTATATTTTTAAATAACGAGGCCAAGAAGTTTTTAAAAATCCTTCCATAAATATTGTAAGTTTCTTGTTTAATTTTTTTGATATTATAGTGTTTGGTATGATTTAACATTAGCTTAGCTTATAAGAATTTATTAGTCAAATAAAAACTAAAATGTAAAAAAAAAAAAAATATTTGTCATTATATTATTTTTAATATAATTTCGTTGTATTGGGAAAGTAATAGCTTTAGGTTTAAATTTTAAAAATTAATGCGCATTAATTTATTACCTAACTAGCATTGCCCGCGGCTCCGCCCGCGTTCAGATGACCAAAAACTAAATTCTTAGGTGTTACATATTAGTATACTCTTACATTGCAGTTTTTGTATTTTTCCTCAGAAATAAGATATTTTCCCGCGGTAAAAAGTATCCTAGGATCGCGCGCTACATCGCCCGGTTTATATAGCTTGAGCAGGCGGTCGAGCGATGCGGGGCAGAGGGGATGGACTCGCCGTAGGCATCTCAATGCTCGCCAAGCATTAAAAATGTTTCGCTACTAATTACTTCTAACAACGATATCTCAAAAACTATTCATCTGATTGATTTAGTGTAAAGAGCAATTTTAATCTGCATTAAATGACTAAGCTAACTAAAATATTCATTTGGATAAGGATTAATACCGAACTAAAGAAAATAACTTTGAAAATAACGTAATGTTTTTAATTAAAAATGTTAACATAAAAGTGGTTATTGTAAGTCAACCGTAAGAGATAGAGATATGCTATCGCGGACTTTTTTGTAGCATTTTTATAGATTTTGAATTCTCTAGTACATTACTTAACTGTATCTTTGCTAGTTTACGCGGCGTTCGCGTGGAAAGTTCCCATTTGGCGAGATTTTTTGCGACCTCTTCAACATTTGTCGCCGTATTTCAGCTAATTTACATAAAAGCATAATAAATTATATACCTAAACCTTCCTCAAGAATTACTCTTTCTATTGTTGAAAACCGTATAAAAATCCGTTCAGTAGTTTTCGAGTTTATCGCGTACAGACAGACAGGAGGACAGACAGGAGGACAGAAAGACGCGGCCGGGGGACTTATTTTTATAATAAGTATAGAATTGTCTTTAGACTAAAGCAACTAATAATATTATGATAATTGAGATTAATATTCACCCAATCATATCAGACGTATTACAGATTATTGCTGTAAGCTACGGAAAATTGAAATGGAATACATAATATATCAAAGTTCCTCATGTAACGAAAACTGGAAATGAGTTCTTATTTTCATACATTTTTCCTAAACTTCTTTCGAAACCTTGCGATAGGTAGGTATTATCTGTACCTACACTATCATATACACTTTTTTTTAATATTGAGTAAATATTTGTTTATAAATTACTTTAACACTCCGATTAATTAAGTATAATTAAGATGTTTTACTAGCTTTACTTTTTATTATTATTATTATATATTTTTTTACTATAGCTGCTGAATATAGTCAATGAATAATAATGGAAAGAAAAAGATCCATACAAACGAACATAGACCTTTCTTCTTTTCAGAAGTCGGTTAATAAATAGGTAAATATGTAATTAAAATTAAAAAATCTATATCAACGGCCAATCCCGAGCCCCATCTCCATGCTACGTGACATTTGCCAAGTAATACGTGATTGATGCACACATTGAAGCTATAACCAAGAAAGACAAAACCAAGGCTAATCCATATCAGTTTCAAAATATCGAATAAATTGTTTTCAAATAAGTGAATTTGAAAACAGAATATATATATTTTTTACTTTGTCTTCGTAAAAGATAATAAGATTCATGAAAAATATCTTGTTAAGATATAATGATACAGATATATTGATAAGTATCTTGCATTAAATATCTATTTTCCATACACATATGCATTTATGCATTTATTAGCATTCAATACTATTTAATTTATAAGAAAGTTTCTTAGTGGGTGGATAGGCTTTATGAACATTTGCAATTCTAAGAAGACATTATGTATATTGTTGGTTAGCCTCTGAATAATCCGAACGTGTGAGACCGCTTCAGACGAATCTTAAAACAGCCTTTAACCCAAAAGAGGCTCGTACGACGTTTTGGATTAACATAGTATGTGTACTTAATTATGTATTAATTATTAATTATTCTCGATAATATTATTAAAAAATAATTTAACCAATTAATTATCTATCATTATTTCAATAATAAATATAATAGTATATAACTAAGCAATATTTATGAAATAACTTAAACCCAATATGTCGCTAACTACTGTTTTCAAAAATATTTTTACAAGCATCATTGATCTCATTCCTATTATATATACTAATATTATAAATATGAAAGTTTGTGAGTATGGGTGTTTGTTACTTTCACGCCAGAACGGCTGAACGTATCTGGATTAAATTTGGCACAGAGATAGATATGGAATAACACATAGACTACTTTTTATCTCGTAAAAATGTACGGTTCTCGTGGGATAGCTTTGTTTTTGTTTTTCTAGAGGCGATCCCGAGCGAAGCGAGGCTGAGCCGTTAGGTAAACATAAATATTAATTATTAAAGAAACAAAGTCAAATCTAGTCTCACAGAGACTACTTTATGGAAAAAAAATTAAAATAACATGCTTATAAATCAACATGAAATCAATTTGGCCAATTAAACAATCGGGTCAGGCCGCGTGGAACCATTAGAAGCCCTTAACAAGCTCAGCGGTTATACATAAATTATAACACAAAAGTAATAATAAATCAGATGTAATTTCGCGTTACGATCAATTAAGACGTGGGTAGGTGGAGGTAGGTGTGTGACCTAATTAAGGAAAACGCGCGAAACTAATGTCAGAGCTAACCTTGCGATTAGTCTTTGGGGAACAAGACGAAATACTCCGATTTTCCTTTAACCTTATACGCTTCATATTAGTTTGTACCTTCACGGTGAAAGTAGGTTTCGTAATTACCTCTAATTAACATAATTAAATACTTTATTCCGTTTATTAACACAAATATATAGATTATTTAGAGGAAGTTGATTTTGATCATTATTAATAAATACAATTAAATATTGATTTATTCTAGCTTATAAATGTTCTAGCAATTTCATGCGCGTGAAGTGAAAATAAGAGTGTTGTGAAAATGAAACAAACGGACAAACAAGTTTTTACATTTATAGTATAATAAAATTGAATTGCTTTCAAAGACGGATAAATAATAAAATGAAATATACTTACATATTTATATTGCAAATGACATTAATTTAACAAACATAGGATATAACTTATCACTCTTAGTTAACATTATTTAATCTAAAGAGCTTTTGTTAACGTGAAAAATGTTTTCGGAATTAAATTCAAATTGATAGCACAGTCCTCGATCTCAATTAATTAACACAGTAACAGAAATCTGCGATGTGAATAATATAAAATTACCTGATGAAATTAAGCACGTTATCTGGCAATGCTTCAGTACTGTTAACGCAAGTTCCCGGCCGAGGTTCAGGAACTTTTGCTCTTAGAACTGGTAACCATGCTGAACTTGAAGTCGCCTGTTCAAATAAATAACCAACAAAATATTACTTTCTTAGATGTGCGCGAATATTTGATATTATAAATAATATCTTTTCGGGTTTTTCAAATAATTGCCACGTTGATCTAGAAACTATCGTGTAGCATGTCAATGAGGTACTGGATTCGAATATTAATTTATATATTATTAATTTGTATATTGGGCAAAAGTACGTGAAGAAATTCTCAGTAGCAGCCTAGAGTCGGGCTATCGGTGGTGTTCCATGGTCCATGACACACAAAGGCGTCGGTCAGGTGATTGATGGAAAATATCCTTGTACTGCTATCTCCCGCGCAGGTATTAGTTTTAGTGAGGTTTGTCGCTGCGACTAAAATCGATTAGGAGTACATTATATATTATGTTTTTACAGATATATCATTAAAACATCTAAAAAAATCATAAACTTACAATGATTTAATAATTGTCTACAATTAAATATCTTTAAAATGTGGTATTTAAAACAAAAATTAAATTAAAAGTTGAAATGGTAGGAATAATACAAACTTGTTCCTTAAATCGGCCTGCAAAAGCTTCTTGGATATCGTCCATAGTATATGTACAAATTGCAGAACCGATTAACCCGTCACTCGCGCCCGTCGTGAATGCGGCGTAAAACCGACTCGGGTCGCCTGGCATTTGATATACGCTCTCTATTTTAAAACAGAAAAATTAAAAACCAGTTAGTTTATTTTAGTTTTAAAAGTGAAGTATATTATATTTCTATCTATGCTTTATAAATACTTATAACTATAGACATAAATTTTAAATTAATAAAAAAGCTGTATTTAAATTTAAAGTAATTCAATTCACAATATCTGTTTCATTAAAACCACTCTTCGTATTAAATCTCGAGCTTTTAAAGAGAATGTTCTTACAAAAGCAATAAAAAGTCGTATTTTTAAGACTCTTTACTTGGTTTTAAGAAGGTTTTTTACAGCTGTTTAAAATTAAAGAAATGTAATTTGAAACAATGAAGTCGGCAATTTAGGCAAATAATTTAAAGTAGAGCACTAAAGTTGTATCCATCGCGGAATCTTACATACGAGTATATTAATATTGAACTACTTACGTATTTCATCAAAGTAGAAGGGAAATTCTCCCGGTATGCTACAGTTAAGCCTGGCTTTTAAGTAAGTAGCCCAATTTTGGCTCAGAATATGCTTGCCCCCTGTATCTTGTTTACATACTCTGGCTACACGAGAGTAAACTGCTTTACCACAGTTCATGAATTCCACAGCGGTTTCACGAAAAAAGAATAGCACATATTCTCCAACATCGAATGACCCAACAAAATTGGTTTCTGAAACGGATTCGAAACTCAGACAAACATATATCCAAATACTATTTATCATGTACAAACATATATGTAAATATATGACTATTTAACATGCATAATTGTGCATCAAATTGAGATCATTCACCGTCCAAGCAGCTAAAATTAATATTAACTAAATTGTGATCATATACATATCCTATACTAGCATTTCCCGCGACTCCGCCCGCGTTCAGATGACCAAAACCCAAATTTTTAGGTTTTACATATTAGTATACTCTTACAGTGCAGTTTTTTTTATTTTTTCTTAGAAATGAGATATTTTACCGCGGTAAAAAGTGTCCTTTATGTTGACCCGGATAACCAGCTATCACCATGCCAAATTTCATCAAAATCCCTCCAGTGATTTTTCTGTAACGCGGTAACAGACAGACAGACAAAAATTGTAAAAACTATAGATTCGACCTCTGTGTCGAAAATAATGTTTATTTCAATAAGATTTAAAAAAAAATATTTAATCTATAAATTCGGCTTAGTTACAATTTTATTATATGTATAGATTATATAGCTATCTAGGGCTTTGCTCAAAAGATGTAGTGTTTGTTTTTATACTCTTACAGTTGTTCATACACTTAATGGCACTTGTTCGTAATAGCAAATATTTGTAAAAGTATTGTAATGTTTTCAGTATTTAAAAAGTTATTAGAAAATATTTCCATATTAATTAATATGAAAATATAATAAACATATACTTTGGTATCATACAAGGGAAAGCAATTAAGCAAAGTATCACTTACTATCCAGCCATTTGGAGTCGTACTTCAGCGTGCGCTTGAAGTTGAACCTTTTTTGGCCCGTACGAAAATCGAATAGGTCATTGCGGAAAATGACTGGGTCAGCTTTAGTGAACTCGGCATTCGTGCCCGCGTACAAAGCTGGCAAGCCGCCGGGGTTTCCCCGCGTCACCCACACCGCCGTGCTGTTGTCCGCAGGATCGTACGGGCACTTGGCGACTCCCAGCCCTACTCCTGGCACGTATTCATGCCGCGGGAGATGAGTCAGGTTTAACTATTTGGAACATATGATCAAATGATAAATTGATTATATAGACTCTTAGTATACAAACGTGATTGACACTTTATACAATAATATTAGGACGTAATTATCAATCTAATTTAAAATAATAAATTAATTTATAAAAATATAATACTGGACAGCGTAAAAAGTTTGTTTACGGCTTTTTAATTTGGTCAGTTCAGACATTTTTTGTGTTCATTAGCAATTTGCTATGCTAAATTAATTATTATTATATATATAAGTTGTATATATTTTTGTAAGTGCCTTTTAAAAAATCTTTATTGAACATATCCCACTCGATAGGTTTGGATGACAAAATGTTTTTCAAGTCACATAAGTTGACACTTAAAATCCTTTATGACACTCGCGTTATCAAGACGAATCTAACAAGTGTGAGCCATCAAAATCCGTTCAGCCGTTTAGTAATTACGAGGGAACATAGGATCAGACATACATATATGCAGGACAAACACATAACTCTACATTGGGCTTCACTGCACTCGGTTAAAAATAATATAAATGTAGAATTTTATTTATTTTTTGTACATAACATTACTGCTAAAAAATTGAACTTATAATATTCTTAATATAAATGTATATAATTGTTTTCTGTTATTATATGTATGTAAACATGCATATATATACAGCTTAAATATATTAAAACTTTTCCTTAACTAAAAAGACTAATAAACTTCCAAGAACTGGTGATTTCATCATCTAAAATTTAGGTTAAAGCAGATTCCATAAAAAACGACGATAACCATTATATAGAATTTATTTTATTATGTTTTTGAGATCACTACTTTATTCGATAATCTCTAAAGCCGGAGCATAATATCATGATTTATGTGAAGAACAGGTGTTTTGAAATACAAGCGCCGTAGCAGTTGAATGAGTATGAGCTATTATCCTGACCGCAAGAGGGGTTCTATAAAAGTTGTTTTAATGGTTTAGGGATTAACTCACGTAGACCACCCAGTCTTTGGGGCTGTGTGCGTTGGTGCCGCACACATAGAGTCGCTCGCCGTCGCCTAGCGGCTGCAGCACTCGGATGTGGTTTCTGCACTCAAACGGCTCTGATTTGCCTTTGCTTACACACCGCGCTACGTTACTCGCTTCTAACAGCAACGTGTCTCTCTGCAATTTTATCAGTGTGTGTCACGAAATTCATGCTTTATAAATAACATAAGAATATTTCACTTATAAAGCTTTCTCATATACATATTGGAATTTTACATACAAACACTATGAACTAGATAATTGTAGACTATATGTAGACTATATGTAATATGTATATGTAATATGTAGACTATATGTAATATGTATACATCGAAATATAAATAAAACATTACAAATATTGAGTACTAATTCAAAGGCTTGTTTTAAAACCACAGAAAATAAATTAATTCGGGCTAACTACTGCACTAGTTATCAAGTATGTTTAATAAGCTAGCGTTCGTTTTAAGTGTTTTGTTTGAAAATCGTATTTAGAATTTGCTCTTAAGCATACATCAAACGAAAAACTAACTCAACTATAAAGTTTGACTTCAGCTTTTAAATCAAATTTCTATGTGCCGTTACGTTCTCATAGAACTTCTATTTCTTTTATTACAAAGAAACTACGCTTATTGCCGAAAAGAAAATAAACAATACTAACCTCACAATGTGACTGACTTATATCAGTCATATTTAGTTTATATATTCGATCCCTGCAATATAAAAGATTTTGTTATACATAAAAATCAAATAAAATATTATTAAAATTTAACATTTAATTAACATACCAACTATATATTTCTATAAGCATTAATAGGATATTATAACAAGTGAACGTCGTACAACGTGATCTACCCTAATGTTATTAATGAAGTATTAAGTCTGTCCAAACCAGGCCATCTGGATGCGGCTCTAAAAATCTTGTAAAAGTCCGCGGTAAGTATACCTACTTTCTATGTATAATGAAAATGCTAAGTTCTCAAGAGCATTTCGCATGAGCGAGTGCGTACATAGTCATTCATACTCGTAGAATAGAATTCATGTTTAGAGCCTAAATAGAATAAATTGATCATTAGTTTAGTAAAAAAATCCTCATAATAAAATATATGAAAAGATAGAAAGACTACTTTTATATATATATATATATATATATATATATATATATATATATATATATATATATATATTCACAGATCACATAATACTATAGATATATTTTACATTGCTTAGCAAAATCACACATCGCATACTAGTAGTAAAACCATTAAACAGATGAATTAAAAAGAATTTTATTACCTAAAGGTAAATTTCTAAGAAATCTATTGTTAACTGTAACGCCGGCGTGTCCGCGCTCGTGGAGGGATTAAGGCAATTAATTATATGTTTAAATTACAATAGATATTTGAATGTACTTATTCTAATTTACTTTCATAAATACACTTGCTTTTTAGAAAAACTTAATTCGTCCGTATTATTATTATTAACTATATTATCTATATAAATAAAAAAGAATCACCGAGATGTAGGTATGTACGTACGCGCATAACTTCCGATCGACTGCACCAAATTGGATAATTCTTTTTTTTTTGTTTTTGTTATTGTCAGGACAAGCTTTGTATAGGAAATTAAAAGAAAAATAATATACTAAAATAAGTTTTTTTTTTTAAATCTTATGATATGAAAAGTGAGTGAGTGAAATAGTTTGTATCCCGGAAATCATCCCCTTAAGAGGGTGAGAATGGGGATGAAAGTTTGTACAAGGAAGCCAGCCAGGGACGACCAGAGCGAAGCGAGGGTGAGCCGCTACTTAATATTATAAATATGAAACTTTGTAAGTATGTTAATGTTTGTTACTTTTTCACGCTGCAACGGCTGAACAGATCTGGATGAAATTTGGAACAGAGATAGATTATAGTCTAAAATAACACATAGGCTATTTTTTATCCCGGAAAAATGTACGGTTCCCGTGTGATAAGTTTGTTTTTGTTTTGCTAGAAGCGAACCCGAGCGAAACGGGGGTGTGCCGCTAGTACTTAATAATTTAACAGAAAAATATGAAAAATCAAAGTAGTAACATTTCTAACGGACAGTAGGAATTTGTTTTAATGTAAAGGGCCTGATTAATTTCATCCATACTTTTTTTTAAATAATAAATAATATAACAAGCTTTTTTAGTAAAACAATTTGTATAGAGATGGAAATGAAGCAAATAAAAGTTGACGGAAATTGTGGATAATTGACTTTCATGACTCGGTTCATTTTTTCGTGCAAGCAAATCATTACACCGGCTATTTCAACGGTCCTCAGATTGTATACAATAATATGATAAATGAATTATTACTTCATAAGTAATGTTTCTATATGTTTATAAGCTTTGGTTAAGTAATATTTGACGACTGAAAAGTTTTATAAAAATCGACTCATTTTCTGTGTGTGTTATTAATTAATAAAACAACATTTTTGGGGTATCCATATTATGTAAAAGATGACTGTTTTGATTTCTACAAGAAACATTTACTTATTGCTTTACTAGAAACTGTGGCCTTTGAGTCCGTTACATTTTGTTTCTCATAGAGTCAATGATACCTGAAACATGATAGCTACAAGCCGATCGAAGAAATATATAAGAGTTACTTAACAAGTTACGTAACAAGTAGTAACAACTAATTAAATATTCACTTTCATAGTTTTATGTCATATTTTTAATAAGTAAAATATTAAAGATATTTCTTATGTATTAAAAACTAATATAAAAACTATGTCTAGAAGAAAACAATAATATGTTAAAAAAAATATAATTTAAATAAAATCTGAGCCACTTACATAGCACCGACGTAAAGCGTTTTTCTCTCTTCATTAATATATAGAGTACGATAAAAGAGACTGCCGCATGTAAACTCTCGCATATGATCTGGAAGAGAGGAAAATTTATTTACTTACACTTCTTGCATAAACATAAATAAAATCATTAATTGGAGGATGGTCAAAGACTAAAGAGTTAACATCCAATAAGAATGAACCATTGATATAATTTAAATTAAAAAAGCCAGTAATTTTTTATCTCACGTTCTTTAATAGAATCAAATATCTTGAAAATACACATATAATTTAGTCGTTGATATTCATATCAGAATTACAAAAGCCACAAATGTATTACAATAATACAAACATTTATTATAATAGTACGATAAATATTTTGCACGAAACTGTACTAAAATACCGGGTAGTCGCAATTTCAACAGCTAATTATGAGTCTACTACAACAGCCGATTATTGGCAGGACTACACGCAACGTCTCGTGACTCCGCGGCGCCCCGCTTCGCTTACACAGACCGCTACTCAAATATATTAAAATATTAGTCATATTACATCCTTTTAAAACTTTTGTCATCAGTACAATACATATTAATAGCACTATATTCATTAATAGAAATTTCTTATATACTTTTAATCTAAGTGAAATGAAAATGAATATTGCACAAATCGTTTTTTTTATTTCTAAACTAATGCTCTTACAGCTTATTATATAAGCTAACACTTCGTCCAACTAGCGTTTAAATACGAACCGATTATTGCGCTAATGAAGTCATTGTTTGAATATCTAACGAACTGTGTACAGCGATTTATACGAGCAGAAATCGGCACGTGCCGCGCATAATGCGTCTAATAAGACCATATAACGCGAACCCTCCGGAGACCCTGAGGTCCTTGCTAATTTGCTAGGAAATGTTGACGATGCGTACAGCTCCTACGAAATTGTGCCAATTTTCTACGACAGGAAACAACAATATACATATGTTTTATGTAGCTATGGTAAGCATTCGCTATCCAAACCACACTTGAAATTTATCCAACCACATCACTCGTAATTGTTACTTACACTGGTGTGTAATCATTTCTCGATTAACAGTTAACAATGCAAATTGGTCGAAGTAAAGTAAAAGCTTCAGCTTCATTAATATCCATCAACTTCTGCATTTGTACATGAAGTGACCAATCGCAATACAAATTAATTTGGAGCAAACAAGCAATATGATGGCGGTTATAATATAAATCCATAATAACGAGGTGAAGTCCGCGCGGCGCTAGCTGACGACCGCATTATGCAGATAACATCGGCCGGTTAAATACCGCAACAAGTCTGCCAAAGCTGACTATTTGCGTGAAAATTGTACTGTTTTAAAATAATTTTCATACTCTACAACACGATAATATGCAGGGGTGTTACGAGTATATAGCCAGATTTAATTGCTTGCACAGCTTTATGCGAAACGAGCTTATATTTAATTTTGAAACCAATGATATACAAATTTGTACTTATAAAATGTACAGTTGGTAATGTTAAATCTGAAAAACGATATAGCAAAATCTGTCTGAATGCCATGAATATTTTTTTAACACTTCTTAACTGTGAAAAATTGCCATATCTCTAGATATATTGTACAAACTATAAAGCTGTATTACTTAAGCACAACGACTGGAAGATTTAAAAATATTAATTCAGGTTATTTGTTTTAAATATCAATATAATTTCATAGCCGCTTAAAATTTTTTCATTTTGTGTTCAAAATTCATAGGTTTCACGGTAATTTTGGTAAATATTTTTTGTGATGGCGAAACGGTAGAATGCGGTTGAAAACATGTATTATGCATAAACTTACAAGTTAGATAAAAAATCTCAAACGCAGAGTAGCAGGCATGACTTGACAAGGACACCAAATTTATAATTCGTTGATCACGAATTATCAAATAGGATATTTTACAATATCTCGCTAACTGTAATTAGTTTAGTATTTCTCAAATACGTATGATACAGGATACATCTCAGATACAAGATTATATAAAATACACTAGCATTACCCGCGGCTCCGCTGGCGTTAAGATGACCAAAAATCAAATTCTTAGGTTTTACAGACAGACAGACAAAAATCCTAAAAACTATAGATTCGGCTTCTGTATCGATAATAATGTTTATTTCAATAATATTTTCCAAAAAATATTTAATGTACAGATTCGGCTTAGTTACAATTTTATTATATGTATAGATATATTTTTATTTAAAATACTTGAATGTTTTGAATGGAAGCAGCGAACAATAGCGACAAGTGCTTTCCAGTTCAACTGGAATGTCTGAACATTCCAAAACGACAATGCGAATGTTAGTCAACGTTATACTTGCCGCACATGCGGCAGCTGTTTTTAAAAGCTTATTTGTTTTGTTTCTTTCTCAGTTGCTCTGCAATGCCACAATCTCGAATTTTAGTCAATGAAAAATAATATTTATCGATATTTTATAATTTTCTGTATTAACTTCTATAAAGACATTTTGCAAGGATTAAATGAAAGTTGCTTGTCAATGCAATTTGTATTAGAGAATTCTCGTTGAAACTCATATCTTTCATAATACTTTCTTTGATTTACGCGAATATTTGACATTTTAAATAAAACTATCTTTTCGGTTTATTTCGCGGATTTACTTTGATTTGTGGTTACCGACGTTTTGAATGCTTTACAGCAATGATGGTCACGGGAGAGACTAAGGTTATAGACGTCTCAAACACATACTTGTTACAGACAGTGCCCACCCACTATTTTACAAAAAATGATTTCAAAAATTCAAAAATAGCAATAAAGTAACTTACAATATTTGTTGATTTTTTCGTATCTTTCAATTCTTTTTTTTGTTAATATTCTAATATATTCTAATTCTAATAAATATATATGTATATATATATATATATATATATATATATATATATATATTAATATTTTTTTGTTAATATTATTTAAACACTATGTCCCCATTGCGTTCCTACGGTGTGTTCCCAAATTGCATCACGGTGCCTGACAATACTTTTAAAATATTAATATTTGAAATATAACAAACTCATAACTGTTTTAATATTATAAAATTCTCAATAATAAAATATAAATAATTAACATCAAATAAATATTATAAAATATAAAATTATAACTAGCAAAATATGAAGAATCAATAACCACATTCTCTCTGTCGGCTCTAACGATTTTGATGAAATTTGCAATGTACGGGTGTGAAAAATCGATCTAACTAGGTTTTATATCTTGGATAATTCGTTTTCTCCGTATTTTCAAGAAAAAAGATTTGCCCACGCAATATGGTTCGTATATACGCCGCCGCGCCGCCGCCGCCGTCTGAATAGCCTAATGGTTAAAGCGTTAGCTTAATACGCCGAAGGTCAGAAGTTTCTATTTTTATTCTTATAAATTATAATATTAAATGAGCAACTCTTGTATTTTTATATATTTTATTTCGTGTATCTCGAAAACGGCCCTAACGATTTGGATCAAATTTTATATTTAGATAAGATTTTGCTTTTTAAGCATATCTTTACAGGTGTATTTTCCAAAAAAATTAAATTTTATTTCTTTTCTGAAAATAAAACAAAAACGCTGAACGTCGCTCGCTCAGATATTAAATTATAATCTAAGTATGTAAACTGAGCATAGTTTTGCAGAGAGTGGGAGTCACGAGTAAGATTATAATATAATATTATTTTTATTTATATTAAAATTAAATGACAAAATACTTTTTTTCTATAAGGTATTGCTTTTAAGAGGCTTTTAGAAGAAAGTAAAAGTAAGCAAGCTTATTTGCTCAGATCTTACTGTCGGCAACTTACCAATACTTGTCTGTGTTTAACCGACGTTTAACCGGCGTTTGGTCTACAGATTATTCCGTCTTACTTGCGATCGTTGACATTTTAGTATTCTTATTTTAGATTGTTTTCGACTGACATACGATTCGTATTTATTCAATTTAGTTTATATGCATTATATTCATCAACAATATATTCATGTAAAATTACATGATGGCACATTTCTTTCTTATATAGCATCTGTTTCTTTTTATTTTATACTAATTATTTTAATTATATTAATCAGAGTAATTATGTCGTCATAAATCATATACTCGTATATTATGAAATGCATATGGTACAAATAATATCCATTTTATAAAATGGACATGTAATTCTAAAAGTCCACAAAAAAAAAGTAAATCCGGAAATTACCGTCACTGGCTTTATACAGTGGAAATATATTTTCAGTGGTATTTTAGTTGTTTTCGTGCAACCGCAGATAGGTCAGGAGATACCGGAGTCTTCGCGTAAATCCAACTGAGTGGCCGCTCCATAGATAGAAACTGCGGAGTACAGAGCGGAACTGCTCGCTGGTACGTTTTTCCTTTTTTACTGTGCTCACATTGATTTATAGTAACCAGACATTTGCGTCTTTTTAGCGAGTTTTGTACTTTTATTTTAAGCGTCCTATAAGTGATCCAGTAAATATTTTTTTCTAAAATTATAAATACCTTTCATGCGAGGGCGAATGGAAAAAAAACTGGTTTTATCAAAAGCTAAAACCAATCTATACTTGTTACTTACATTACTTGAAAAGTAGGTACACTCATATATTTTTAATAACAGTCAAATGTTTGAATGGTGTACTTATTTACTTTTAATTCGTGATTAAAATATTTGTACAAATTAATTTGGTATTGGTTCTTTTTTTATAGTAAAAAGGACAAACAAGCAAACGATCCACGTGGTGGTCAGTGGCTATCGCCGCTCATTGACATCTGCAACACAAGAGGAGTTGCGAATGCATCGCCGGCTCTTAAGCGACCTGAAGTTACGACTCTTGAAGAGCCCCATGTTACAGCGTTCATTTTTACTTAATTATAACACATCATCAATCTTATCAGTAGTAGTACAGTCAGGCAATCCTTAAAAATGATATTTTAATTAAGTTCATTAATTGATAACAGTTGATAAGCCTTGTCACGGACGTTCAAACTGCTTGTCAAATAGCACACCTCTAGTGTCATCGATAGACGTAATAAACTTACGAGAAAGAAAACAAAAATACTTT